TATGCATACTCCCAATATCATCACCATAACCAAGATACTAAACATATTCATCACCTCCAAAAATTTCCTTGTATTCTTTTGTTATGTTTTTATTTTGCTTTTGTTTTTGGTATGAACACAACATGAAATTTGTCCTCAGAATATTTTACAGTGCACAATACCATATTATTAGCTGTAAGTGCCCTATTGTACAGAAAATTCCTAAAATTTATTCATTCTCATAAAAAAACTTTATGCCCATTGAAAAACAAATCCCCATGTAACTTTACTGTCTATTTACATCACCTGAAGAACTTTTATAAACCCAATGCACCACATACTACAACAAACCAATGAAATCAGAATGTGATGAGAACTGGACACCAATAATTTTCAAAGATCTCCAGGTAACTCCAATGCAAAGGTTAGGGACCACCATTTCTCTTAATGGGAGATGAGCAGACTCTCTTAACTTCTTTTGAGTTCAACCTATTGTGACATCTCCTGTGGGCCGTGGAGAATACCACTGCAAACTCATGGGAAGAGGTTAGTAGGTCTTAGGATCATTATGAAATTTTGTTCTGAGTTCACAGGTCCCCAACCCCCTAAAAGTGCCTCAAGGACTCCAGAAGTTCCCCAGACCACACTTTAAGGACAGCTGCCTTATAGAGCTCGCTCTTCTGCCATCTCATTTAATTGTCATGACAGTCCCGAGAGGTTTGATTGACGTATGCCACATACATAAAAACTGAAATTCAACATGGTTAACTTTCCTGAGACCACAAAGGGGAATTAGAACCAGGATTTGAAGCAAGATCTCCAACTACAAATCCCATTGTCCTAAGCTTGTATTGGCATAAAAGTACTTGGCACATTCAAAGAAAGAAACTATCTGGCTTTCATTTTTGCTGTGAGCTGGAAAGAGATCAGCCTATAGGTGGGGATGGGGAAATGAAGTTCTGATGAAAAATATGTTTTTTAAATATTTATTTTTAAATATTTCCACTGGAGTGAGGTTCTGATAAAGAAAAAAATATATTTGGTGACAGCTGAGTGAGGTTCAGATGTGTAAGGTTTGAGATAGATTTAAGGGTGAAAAGCTTTTACCTCACGGTCAGGACTTTTAAGTCAGACCTAGTTTTAAATATCAGTTGACTTGAACAAATTAACCTCCATAAGCTTTAAATTTCTAGTTTAAAATACAATAATACCTCCCAGGTGGGTTTCCATGAGGGGTAAGTGAACAATGTAAACTGGTTTTATCAGTGCCTGGAACTTAAAAATCACTTAGGAAATGGGTACATTTTCATTTAAATTTATATTTGATGTTTTCTTGCTTTCCAAAATCACACTTTATCACTTACTCATGACTATGGGTGAGTTTCCCCCACTTCCTGAACATTCATTTCCACTGATTATAAAACAGAATCAAATTATAGTCTTGCCGGACCAGTTTGGCTCAATGGATAGAGCGTCGGCTTGGGGACTGAAGGGTCCTGGGTTCGATTCCGGTCAAGGGCATATACCTTGGTTCCGGGCATATCCCAGTAGGGGGTGTGCAAGAGGCAGCTGATCAATGACTCTCTCTCATCGATGTTTCTAACTATCTCTCTCCCTTTCTGTATAAAAATCAATAATATATATATATATATTTAAAAAATTATAGTCTTATATGGACAATGCTTGGCATATAAATAGGTATTCAACCGATGTAACTTTCCTAACTGTCAAAAATGTAAAGTAGTCCCCCAGGACAGAAAGAGGACCTCTTAAACTACAAAGCTCTTAAGTACTCAAATCTACATTTTCCTGAGTTTTAATTATTTATAAGTATAACATTGGGATTTTTCAACTTGTAACCAAGTTCTATTTGCAACTTGGTAGGGAGGGGGGTAAAGGGTAAAAGCCGACAAATACTCTGCGCAGCCAGATTATTATGATCTCTGAATGCATAACAATCTAGGTGAAAGTTTATTTAAGTTCAAATTAAAGTTTATTTAGGAGCAATCACTCTTGTAGCCACCTAAGTTTGAAAAACACACTCCAAAAAACAGAGTAGCAAACACTCCAAGAAAGAGTTGGGAAAAGTAGGGCCTACACAGAGACAAGGATATGAAGATTCAGGTGTGCAACCCTAATTTGAGCCTCACTGATGGTATTTTCCAAGTCTGACACTGCTACCATGCTCACTGAAATGAAGGCACATCTCTATGTCTGCTCAACATCCTGGACCCAAACCTCAGGCCTCATAATCACCCACAACTCAGACCCTATGAAATTACTGTCTCTGTCACCAATAACTCAAGCAGATACTCAAAGATCCATAACCAGAATATTGAATGGATAGGTGGCAAAGCTGATGCATACTTGATGACAATAAGTTCTCCATTCAAGTGGTAGCCTATTCCACTGATGAACTACTCCTGGGTAACATTTTTAATTTTAAAATTTTTCTTTTTTAAAATATATTTTATTGCCGAAACTGGTTTGGCTCAATGGATAGAGCGTCGGCTTGGGGACTGAAAGGTCCCAGGTTCTATTCCGGTCAAAGGCATGTACCTTGGTTGTGGGCATATCCTCAGTAGGGGGTGTGCAAGAGGCAGCTGATCGATGACTCTCTCATCGATGTTTCTAACTCTCTATCTCTCTCCCTTCCTCACTGTACAAAATCAATAAAATATATATTTAAAAAAAATAAAAAAGATAAAATATATTTTATTGACTTGTTTACAGAGAGGAAAGGAGAGGGATAGAGAGCTAGAAATATCGATGAGATATAAACATCGACCAGCTGCCTACAATTAAGGTACATGCCCTTGATGGGAATCTATCCTGGGACCTTTGAGTCTACAGGCCGATGCTCTATCCACTGGAGCCAAACCGTTTTTGGTGCATTTTTTAAAAATATATATTTTATTGATTTTTTACAGAGGAAGGGAGAGAGCTAGAGAGCTAGAAACGTCGATGAGAGAAACATCGACCAGCTGCCTCTTGCACACCCCCTACTGGGGATGTGCTCGCAACCAGTGTACATGCCCGTGACCGGAATCGAACCCGGGACCCTTCAGTCCTCAGACCGATGCTCTACCACTGAGCCAAACCGGTTTCGGCCGTTTTTGGTGCATTTTTAATTTTTAAAAAATAAATTTATTGCTGTGACACTGGTTAATAAGATTAATCCCAAAGGCAAGGGAAATAAGAGAAAAAAAATAAACAAATGAGGTGGCATTTTCTTACATGTTGCATCAAAAGCACCCTTCCAGACCTATTATTAATCATTGGTTTTAACCCTTTGATTCCAAACCACCCTAAAGAAAAGAGAGGTAAAAGGAGAAAAAGAGGAAAGAAGAGAAGAGATTAAATATGAATTAACCTTAGATTCGGCAATAGAGCTACCATAAGTGAGTGGCCTGATTATTATAATCTCTGAATGCATAATAATCTGGCCACTCAGAGTGTGTGTGTGTGTGTGTGTGTGTGTGTGTGTGTGTGTGTATGTGTGTGTATGTGTGCATGAATTCGTGCATGGGTGGGGTCCAGCCATCCTGGCCAGGGAGAGGGGACATGGGCAGTTCCCTGCCTGCCTGCTGGTCAAACTCCTGGTCCAGAGGACAATTTGCATTTTAGCCTTTTATTATATAGGATATACACTGAGTGGCCAGATTATTATGCATTCAGAGATCAGTGTATTTCAGCCCTTTAGAATAGGCAAACAATTACCTAACTACAACCCTGGGTCTTTAATTAAATAAGGCAATGGAGAAAAAAATTTAAAAAATAATGAAAATCCAACATGTAAAATACAGCAGTCCTAATTATCGATAGGCAATCTATTTTAATACCCCCAGACGATGCCTGAAACCACAGACAGTACTGAAGCCTATGTGAATTATATTTTTCCTACACATACATAACACTTCACAGCCTCTCTTTGTTATATCCAAGTTGCCAGGATCACTAATCTTGCAATTTGGAGCCATTATGAAGTAAAATAAGAGTTACTTGAACACAAGCACTGAGATACCACCACAGTTGATCTCTTAACCTAGACAGCTACTCAGTGACCAGTGGGAAGAAGCATATACAGTGTGGAGATGCTGGACAAAGGGATGATTCATGTCTGGGGTGAGCCAGAGCAGGACAGCATAAGATTTTATCACACTGCTCAGAATGACACACAATTTAAAAATATGAATTGTTTATTTCTGGACTTTTTCATTAAATATTTTCAGACCACAATTGACTGTGGGTAACTAAAACCCCTGAAAGTGAAACCACAAAAAGAGGAGACTACTGTAGAGGCTGCATTATAGAGGGGGTAGGGGGTTCAGTATTTTGGGGCAAAACTTCCGTTGATTCATCTCTTAAATGTTTGCACTCTCCTGGCTATGAACTTCCTCCATTCCCTCATTTGATCTGGCATTGTGCTTGATAGCCTCAGCTCCAGCCCAGAATTAAAAGAGAGGGGACACAAGGGAATTAAACAGATGGAGGAAAAGATGGGAGGAGGAAAAGGTAGGTTTGCAGGTAAAAGTACTATTTCAATTTATAACCCCAAACCTGAAACTCTTGTCTCAAGCTTTTGGGGATGTGGTCTACTGCACCAGAGTATATTTTTAGGCCATTTCTTCTAAATCCGACACAAGACACATATGGTCCCACTAGAACCCTAGTGTGGGCCAATGAGTCAATATTTGGAGACAGATACACAGAATCTCTCAAGTGTAAGGGCTTAGTGATTATTAATTCTCTCTGCATGGATGCCTCCTTCCCACCTACCCACTCCTAAAAGTGAAGTAAAAAGTTAAAAATGTTCACAGCCCATCTTTGCAAAATTTCAAAAGCCCTTCTTGCCCTTGGGGACCCAATACCCACACCTGCTTACAGGGTGGAGGGTGCAAAGTTCTTCTAATTAAGGTGGTGCAAAGTACGCTATGCAGTCCCCTGGGGTCCTTTTCAAGAAGTGAAACCTTCTGGTATGGCAGAAACTTTTTTCTGTGTCCTTCAGTTCTGATAAGTATGTATTAAACCAAAGTAATTGGGGTGATGTCCAAGGTAGCAGAAGCCACTGATTTCCTGTCACCTGGTATCTATAAGCAATCCTAGGTCTGGCCTATCTCATTCACCCCTGCGCACTTGAGAAAGTAGCAGTCAAGTGAACTCAGCAGCAAGCATCAAAATCAGCCCTTGAGCTCTAAGGTCTTGGAGACTCAGGTAAGGAATCAATTTACTTTGTTTCAATGACTAAAAGGGAGTGATGGGGGAAGGTATAGGTTAGTTTTGGAGACTGGAGATTTTTGGCTTTAATTCTAGGGCTTTCCTGGTCAGGTTTCTGATAGTGACATGATTTGAGGAGGGGTAATATGAAAGCTTGCTGCCCACCCACTTTTAATATTTCCCTCCTTCTCTACCTCCCTCCCTTCCTCCCTCCCTCTCTCTCTTTCTCAATTCTGGCAGATCAACTTTGAGTCAGATTGCAGCATGTAGATTAAAACACAATTGCCAACCTGCTGGGTTCAGACCTGCACTCTACCATTTACAAGCCACATAACCTCAGGCCAAGTTACTAAGCCTCTGTGTTCTCAGTTTCCTCTTCTATAATAAAATTGTGGCAATAATACCACCAATTGCATTATAAAGATTAAATGAACTAAATCCTGAAGCTCCTAAAACTAGTTGTGTGGTATGAAACAAGAAAGTAACCAGTTGTGGCTATAATAAAAAAAAATAACTCTATTCTCCTTACTTTAATTCCCCCCCCCCTCAAAAGATAGCCCACTAAATGGCAATATCCTCAGATATTACTAAGGCTCACAGGCTAACATTTCTGGAGGGGCTTGGCGGACACCAAAATGAACCTCAAATCCTGACTCAAATCCATCACAAAAGCTTAGAGTAAAAGTGGGCACTGGAGATGAGAGGAAGCTCTACTGAAGGGGGACAAAAATAAAATTTAACCATGTCATCTCTATTTTCTAAAAACAGTATATAATGTTACTCTTTTCCCTGTTTCCCATAAAATAACTTGATCTCACTGATCAGATTGCCTTTTTGTCCAATGTCCTGTGCATTTTGTAAACCTGCTCTGAAGAGGCAGTTCAGTTTAATGTTCATTCTACCATTTACGGACTTCATAGTATAGAGAAAATGAGTTCTCTGTGTAATCCCAGTAGGAAATTTCCTTGCAGGACTTATACCCCATTAGAGAAGCTACACTATGATATAGAAAGAAAATAGTAAGAAATGCAAATAGCTGTGACTTTGAAAGAGAAGTCGTTGCCATCGGTGAGAAAGGCAGGAACAACCCTGGGTCATGTGCGTGATTCATGAGGAATTTGACTGAAAATGCAGAGGTAGGAGGAGCATTTCACAGAGGGGAGGATTGAGAGGAGAAAGCAAGAGACTTGTCCAAACCAGGGGTTCTGGCTCCGGTGGCGAAAGGTGGGAAACAATGGGATGGAGCTTAAGAAGTTACGTGGAGCTAAACTGTGAAGGGATTCTTCACAGGCAATGACTGATTGGAGAGAGAGTTCAAGCTCAGGAAGAGCATGACCTAAGTAGTAATTTAGGACTTTGGATCACAGGATAACATTTCTGGAGTGGGGTGGTGGACACCAAAATGAGCCCCAAATTCTGCTTCAAATCCATCACAGAAAGGAGGGTAGCCCTAGCCAGTTTGGCTCAGTGGATATAGCATCAGCCTGTGGACCAAAGGGTTTTAGGTTTGAACCTCCCAGGCCTGGGCTTTGGTTAGGCTCATGCAGGAGGCAACCAACTGATGTGTTTCTCTTGCATCAATGTTTCTCTTTCTTTCCCTCTCTTTTCACTCTCTCTAAAAATTAGTGGAAAAATATCCTCAGGTGAGGATTAACAAAAACAACAAAAAAAAAAAAAAAAAAAGAAAAGAAAAAAAAAGAAAGAAGAGAGTGTGCATTAGAAAAGAGAAAGATTGAAAGCAGAAAAGCAAGATTTTTGTGCTTAAACCAAGAGAGGAAATGAGAATTGAATGCATGAGGTGATAGTGGAAGTATAAAAAGGTTCACCTGCAAGATAAGGCACATTACAAAGACCCATACAATATGATCTGGCCATTGAGTGAACGTGGGAGATAAAGGAGTAAAGGAGCCGAGTGACAGATGGTGTCAACATTTTATGCCTGGGTGACAGAGGAAACAGAAATAAAGCAACCTGAGGGATGATGCCTGAGGAAAGGCTGGGAACTCTGCAGCATAGTCCCTGAAGAGAACAGTTCCAATTAAGTGACTCCCCTACAACTGGCTATGAAGTATTGATGAATGAGGGGGTGAAGAGGAAATGGAGGAAGACAGTGGAACCATAAAGTTTTAAGAAGCTTTGGGTAAAGGACCGGGGCACTGGGCAGTGTTGGGGGATACTGCTACATTAAAGAAAGGGCTTTTGGATGGGGGAAAACTGCGGCACACTTTAATATTAAAAAAAATACAAATATTGTGATTACAATTTTCTTTAAATATTAAATATTTTAAAAATTGCAAGGCATCTCATATTCTCAAAACAATACTTTGAATCAAGAGATCACAAAAGTAGCAAGCAACAGGGCTGGAACTAGCTCCTGCTACATGGCATTAAGAACAGTGAGAATGATAATGCAACAACTGACTTCTTAAAGGACTAAAATCTTGGTGGATGGAGATGGGCTGAGACGCACAGGCAGAAGGAAAGGAAGAAAGAACATTTTTCCTAAGAGATAAGTACACAGGAGGCCAGAAAGGATAAAAATGCAAAGTATTTTGAGTGGCAAAGGAGGAAGTTGAGGTAACAAAGGGGGAAGTTGAGGTAACAAAAGCTTTGAACTTCTCAGTAAATGATAGAATTATTGGACCTAAAAATTATAACTCAAACCAAAACCCATGAGAGCTGTGAGCTCCCCTTCAGAGAAATAGTGGTGTCTTTTAAAAATCAAAAGGGATTTACCATAAAATGGGGCAGTGTTCAGTAAATTGAGTCTTTATTTTAATATAGCTTAGTGAAAATAAGGTCCTATTATTACCATATTTTGACCAATGTGGTCAGTAACCCAAATTGCTTATGAGTTATTAATGTAACAATGAGTCTTTGGGCATAACCATGTAGGGCACCATGTAAGTGATTATGAACAAAATTTTTAATAGAACAAAGCTTTAGGAATCTACAATATCCTTAGGAGTATGTGATCTAGTTTTATATATTCCCATAAAATGAAGCTTTCATCATCTAGTCACTCTATAATGCCATATATATAAAAGCCTAATCAACCGTTCAACCATTTGACCCGTAACTATGACATGTACTGACCACTGGGAGGCAGATGCTTAATTCACAGGCATGGAAACATGGAACAGACTGATGAATCTGAGAGGGAAGTGGAGAGAGGGGAGGGCAGGAAGAGATTTACCAAAGATCTTATATGCATACTATATGCTTGGTGCACGGATTTGCACACCAGTGGAGTCCCTTGGCCTGGCCTTAGGAGATCAGGCTGAAACCAGCTCTCTGGCATCCCTAGAGGGGTCACCTATTGTGAGAGGGTGCAGGCCAGGCTGAAGTAATTATGAACAATTTTTTTAATAGAACAAAGCTTTAGTAATCTAAAAATTGTTCACAAATCCATGCATAATATAATATAATAATAGTATAATATAATAAATATAATATAATATAATCACACACTTAGTATATATATATATATATATATATATATGAAAGAATATTTGCATAAGAAAAGAAGGAGCATATAGAAACAGGTATGCTTTTGTTTATCTGCTACTATTGTTATCTTAATATTTTTTAAAGCTTTGTAGAAATTTACATAACAGGACATTATTTTAATAGAGAAAATATATTTTCCCTAATGATCATTACTGTCTGAGTAGAACTTGCTTACATAAATGGTTTATCTCACCAATAATACAAATACAACCTTAGGCCATTGAAAAAATATGGGGAGATTAAAAACAACAGAAGCCCAATCATTTAAATAATTGATGACTTTTGCTCTTTAAGTCATCCTCACTAAAATGAGCCCTCTGGAGAGGAGGGTAGTGCCTCTCAACTCATTCCACACTTGTCTGCAAAAAGACAAAATGCCTGCTTAGTAAGGAAGGTGTTGGGAGAGTTGAAACTAGATGCATATATACTATTCCTGGCTCATAGTAGGTGCTCAGTGAATAACTGTATGTGATCTAGCTTGTTGTGTGGTAGAGAGAGCACTAGTCTCAGGGCCATGGTGACTACCTTTTGGTTTGGCTTGGTCACTGGGTGAACAAGGCATGTCCCATCCCTGGGCCACCATTTCCTCATTTGTCAAATGAACAGAATGGTTTCCGAGATTCCCCCTGAATAGCTTTAAATCCTGCCTGGTGACCAGAATCCGTTTGTAAACTCCGTAGTGGGCTACATTGATATATTCCTTTTGATTGGTACAAAGCAGAATCCCAAGACTACACCACATATGAGCAAAATCAAGTGCCAAGCATTCAGTCAAATCCTCCTCTCTTCCCTTCAGTTCAGATACATATTTTTTTTCTTCAATTGATTTGTAATCACCCAATTTGAAGGAGAAGAAAGGGGTTCATTAGTAAAATAGATTGAATTCCTATTCCCTACAGGGACAAATCAGTCTGGTACCATAGGCACCTCATTGTAGGGGTTGAAGTCCACATTTCAAATCTTTATTAGTCATGAAACTTTGAACAATTATCTAACTTTTCTATGTCCTTGCTACCTTCTGTACCAAGTAGAGACAATGACTTATCCCTAATCTACTCTGTGAGGCTCAAATGAGATGCCAGATGTGAAATCTCTTTGTCACTATAAAGTGGGTACAAAGGTGAGGCCCAGGACACATCCAATTACCTGTTTCATGGCATACCTGTAGTTGCCTGGCTCTGTGTGACTTCAGTAAGATAAGCAAGATGTACAGACAGTCTTGGTCTTCAAGTCTCCTTACACAACTTACAGTCAATAAAGACAAGAACAAAGATGTGTCCCAAAAGAGAGATTACCAGGGCCCAGGGGAGACCAAATAGAATTCATGTAAGAAATTGACATAAACAAATGAATACCAGAAGGAAGCCCCAGGTAAAGAGGGCTGAGCAGTCTTGGAGTATTAGAGCTGGGCAGGACCTTGGTAATAATCACTGTCTAACTTCAGAAATGAATAAATTATAATTTCAAGAACAACTAGCATTTACTACTTTCTCGCTATGTACTGGGTACTTTCACTTACTTCTCACAAATGTCTGTGAAAGGGGTATTGTACTCATTTTTCAGATAGAAACAAGATAAACTAATGCTCAAAAGGGAATAAAGCTAAAAACAAAAACAGCAACAAAACAGCTAATAATTATTCAGACATAAGTACCTTATATACATTTATTTCTTCAATCATATTTCCTAAGAAACTACTAAAATACTAGATAAGAGAGGACAAGATCTCTACTTTGATAGAATTTATAAACAAGCAAGCAAATATAATGGGTTGTTGTGGGAAAGAGTAACTAGCAGGTTGAATCATTGATTGAGGGTTCAGGGAAGGCTTCTCTGAGAATCTGACATTTGAGCTCCATCTGAGTGAAAAAAAACACCAGCCATCCACAGACCATCCATCAGTTCATTTAAACTTTATAGCAACCCTATGAGAAAAGAATTATTATTATCTTCTATAACAAGAGTCCAACTTGAAGCCCAGAGACTTTTAAAAAATTTGCCCAAGGTTCACAGCAAAAAGAAGAATCATGATTTAAACCTAGGCAATTTGAATCAGGAGGCCATGGTTTTATGATGCCTGTGGTCTACCACAATGGACAAAAGCAAATAAGCAAAGGAATAAAGGCAAATCCATACAAAATGCATTTTCCAATATTAAAGCATTAAAAAAAAAGCATCAAGGGCTGAGAGACAAACAGAATATGCAGATATATGAGCATGATGTTCTCTACAAAGATAAATTATACCCCAAACATAGTTGTCAAGAATACTGGCAGCAAACCCTGGGCCCATATGTCCTTGCCTGAGATGCTCCCTTTGAATCCAATAGGACTTGTTTCAGGTCCAAAGTCCCAAGGAAGAGGCCATGTTTACCCTCAAAGACACATATGGGGAAAAATTCTGAAAAAAAGTATTCAAGTCGAATGACAGAAGATAAGAGACTACTGAAATCCTGTTCTCCCTCTTTTCATTTTATTATTTGTTTTATTTTTAGGATTTTTGAGGGTGAAATGACAACACCCAGAAATTCAATGAGTGGAGCTTTCCCAGCAGATCCTATGAAAGGCCCTATTGCCATGCAACCTGTTAAAACCATTACCAGGAAGGTATCTCCTGTGGTTGGCCCCACACAAAGCTTCTTCATGAGGGAATCCAAGGCTTTGGGGGTGAGTCAGTTACCCTCCATTCCATATCCTAGGGATTCTCTGGCTTATAGAAGTAAATGCTATAGACCAGGTATAGGATTCAGTCCAATTTGAAGGTATCTGATCCAACCTGAGGTGTTCTTTATGTCTGAAATGGTGGGTCAAATCAGAGATGTACAGAGAAGTTATCACAGTGATCTTTTGATTTTGAGGCTTATATATGACATCCCAGTTCATTGCCAGCATCCTAGGCATATCTGCCCTGGAAATGACCCATCTTCTTCACCTAGGTAGTGAAGAAAATGAATCCACACAAGACATAGGTCTTGGCCACTTCTTTTAAGCATTTCACACAAGCCCAAGCCAGGGATTCCGGTTTTACCTTTGCTTTTTGACTTGAAGATGATTTAAATTCACTCAACAGTGCCCCTATTTTCTCCACAGGCTGTCCAGATTATGAATGGGCTCTTCCACATTGCTCTTGGTGGTCTCATGATAATCCACCTGGAGGTCTATGTACCTTTCTGTGTAACTGTGTGGTACCCTCTCTGGGGAGGCATTATGGTGAGTAAAAATTCACAACCATTTGGGGAGTGATGCAGACAAAAATTTTAAAAAGGCTACACAGGAATATACCAGAATAGTTCCTTGTTGAGGAAAGTTGAATAGGAGATAACTTGTCTGATTAAAGTAATTTGGTGGAAAGAAACTTGACTAAATTGAGTATGAATGACATTGTTGAGAGTTAGTTATCATGCTTCATGTGAAGTCAGAGAAAGATATTCTACATGAATCTGCAAAGGGAAGGAAGAGTGTTCAAAGCATAACTTATCCAAAGTCAAGTTGAGTGGGCAGAGGAGCATTAGACATTTGGACTACATAGCATGGTGTTTCGGAAAACAAAAAGGGGTAAGACCATCCCACTTTCAACTGCTTCCTTACAATTCTGTTTAGTTTCTATTGCACATGGTGAAATTAGTCCCATCCTAGATGAATCTTCCGTAGCTTATTAGGAGATCAGCATTCCTTATGACTGTTTCATGTACATGTTTTTCAAGTGTGTAAGCCTGTCTGAGTGTGGTATGGTGCAGTGGTGTTTATATCGCCATTACATTTTAATAGTTACTATGATAAAGATGAGCCCAAGATTTTCTGAACAAGGGGAGATAGATTAGAACAAGAATTTTCTCCATTTTTTACAGCTTGAACAGTAGAAAAAGAAAATGAGAAATAATCATCATCACTTCCTGTAACAGCCAACATTTTAACGGGGGAGCCTATGACAATCAAGCCAAATATTTCCTACACTGATTCATTCTTCATTAACATCAGTCACGTAAATCATTGAGAACTACAAAGAGCAATTATACAAAAAATTTTTTAATTAAAAACAAAACTTTTATATCCACTATCTGACTACTAATTGATATGGAAATGTGAATTCTGCCTTTTAGTGTTTTTTTTTTTTAATTATTATTATTTTTTTAACCCTCATCAGAGGAACGAAAATACTTTTTTTTTTTTGCATTGATTTTTAAAGACAATGGAAGGGAAGGAGTGGGGGAAAGAGAGAGAGAGAGAAACATCATTGTGACAGACACTATGATTGGTTGCCACCCACATGCACTGGAACTAGGGGACAGAGAATAGACCTGAAACCCAGATACTTGCCCTTGACCTGGGATCAAACATGAGACCCTCTGGTGAGCAGGTCTACACTCTAACCATTGAGCAATGTTGGTAGGGCATCTTTGGTTTTATTATTTTCCTAGTCACAGCTCCTCAGTTGGTTGAATAAGAGGCATGGATTGAATATAGTTGAACTTGAATAAAGGGGAAATATGACCTCTGAAAAAGAAATGAATCCAATAAAAATGGCTAAATAGATCAGTGAAAGTGGTTGAAAGCATGGATAGCTTTTTTACAACCCAGTTCTCAGTGTTACAAGTATCACTCTCTCTGCTTCTCTTCCTCTCTGCCAATTCTCCCATCTCCACACCCTTCCTTACCTACCACTTCTCTTTTCACAGTACATCATTTCTGGGTCACTCCTGGCAGCAGCCAAGACAAACTCCAGGAGAAGTTTGGCAAGTAACCATATATTCTTCTCTTCCACATATCAGAGGAATATTTGATTTCTCAGTTGAAAACAAATACCCTTAAAGACCTTTGGAATCACAATAGTATTGAGTTCTCTCAACCCTAAAAAGCAAAAGATCCTCTACAATGCTATTGAGATTTTATTTAAGAAAAACTTGAAAATGAGACCTACTTGAAATGTATCCGTGGAAACAATTTAAAGGCAGATGAATAGCATGCATATGATTTTATGCCTGATAAATGCTGTGTGAGACTAACAAATTTCCTTAAAAGCTATTTCGTTTCTCTCAGGCCACCATTTAGGACAGCTATCTAATAAATTCTATGATTGACTTAAGTCCTAATTGACTTTGAGCTGTAATTTTGAGCTCAGTTTATCTCCATGTACCTCTGAGTTTTCACCTGTAAATGGAGATAATAGTACTTATTACCATATGACATTGCCATTAGGATGAAAAGGAGTAGTACACAAGAAAGTGCTTCGGAGGCACTTTCACTCCAGAAGAGCTCCCATATTGTATGGGCCAAGAGCTCACCAGCAGGTTTCCTTCCCAATTTTTGTTACACCTAGTAAGCTATCCGAAGTCAGTGAGGAGTTAAGTGAATTGAAATGCTCTACTCCAGGGGTGGTCTGACAAACTCAGTATGGGTGTGTGTGTTGGGCGGGGGAGAGGGAGGAACTGTTTAAGAAGGTCACATTGTTTTATTCTCCAATACAGCCAGGCCTACTGACTTGCCATTTGTAGATTATAGTACTTGTCATATATATTTTCCCATTTTGATCTTTTGTCATCCTTGCAAGTTAGAACACTCCCACTTACATCCTCTTACCTATGCTACCAGACATCAGCCCTAAAGATGGTGTCTGTAGGGAGAAGGTGGTGTTATCAATCTTGCTGTTCACTTGGTGGTACAGATTCAGAGGGTCTATCTGCTCTTTCCCTATATATATATATATATCCACTTTTATTGATGGAAGAACCTCCTTTTTTCTCTCCCTCCTTCTTACACAGACAGATATGGTCTGAATACTATTTATTTTCATTTACCCAATAAATATTGATTAAATACATACTAGGATGATGACAGTGGTAGTGAAAAGAAGTGCAAGGAGACAATTATAAGAATAAAGGATTCCTCCTACATTTTTTTTCTGGATAAACTGATTGGATAGTAATGGCATAAAATGAGATGGGAAATATGGAGAAAGGAACAAAATTGAGAGAAGAAGGTTTTTATTCTACAGTAACAGAAAACTAAAAACAACTGAGGAATGTGGGGTGTATAATGACTTAGTAGTACCTCTGTGAGTCAGAGGAATGAGATCTGGAATACCCTCCTAGGTTAAATTCTCCAAATGGAAATCAAACCCAATTCATGACTTCATGTTTTCTTTTCAGGTTCAAGGGAAAATGATAATGAACTCAATGAGCCTCTTTGCTGCCATTTCTGGGATAATTATTTTGATCATGGACATATTTAATATTACAGTTTCCCATTTTTTTAAAATGAAGAGTCTAAACTTTATAAAAGCTTCTGTGCCATATATTAACATACACAACTGTGAACCAGCTAACCCTGCTGAGAAAAACTCTTTATATGTACAATATTGTTACAGAGTTCGATCCGTGTTCTTGGTAAGTGTGAAATATGATTCCTTTTCAGAGAGGAAGTGTGGCATTTTTATTATGAGTGTCAACTCTAGATCCAGACTGTCAGCATCTGGTGTTTATTGCCTCGTGCCTGTGGGCAAGAATTTTTAACCACACTCTGCCTCAGTTTTAATTATGAAATGGAGAAGATAATAGTACTTACTTACATCCCTGTTTTGAGGGATGAGTCAGTATATACAAAACATTTAGAACAGTGTCTGGTACACAGAAAATGCTATGTATGTATTTATTTTAACATTAATATTGTTAATGGTATTTACATTTATCAATATTATTATTAAGATGAACATTGAAGAACTACCTAAGTTGTTATGAATAGCTTTTGCCTCATGGAGTTTTTTGTTTTATTTTGTTTTTAAATATATTTTTATTGAGTTCAGAGAGGAAGAGAGAAAGATAGAAACATCAATGATGATAAAGAATCATTGATTGGCTGCCTCCTGTATGCCTCCTACTGGGGATCGAGCCTGCAACCCGGGCATGTGCCCTTGACTACAATCAAACCCGGTTAGGGTTAGGGTTCAGTTCCCAGGCTGACACTATCCACTGAGCCAAACCAGCTAAAGCTGCCTCAAGGAGTTTTTAGTGTAGAGTTTAAAGGGGGGAAAGTGTATATCCCAAATGTGAAGAGGCTTCCTTGGTGTGATACCACCTAAATAAAGCTGGATACAATTAATTTGTGACTCAGTAATTATTCTTTCCTACATAGAATTAATTCTTCAACTATTATTCACTTTCTGTCAGCAACATGGATTAACTATTTTTTTCTGTGTCAGGAGTTGCTAAGGCTTAGGGTTACAAACATACTGTAGTTCTTAAAGATAGTCATTACCTAAAGAATTTATTTTTTAATCACTTAATTTTAGTCAACAGTCATTTACTGAGCACTTACCCTATTCTTCTGATTTTTATTATTACATTTCATCCTCATTTTTTCATTGTTCTTCAGAGCCTTTACGCAGTGATGCTGATCTTTGCCTTCTTCCAGAAACTTGTGACAGCTGGCACTGTTGAGAATGAATGGAAAAAACTTTGCTCCAGACCCAAAGCTGTAAGTAGTAGCCACTCTGTCCTCAACCTTCCTCTAGGAAAATCATTACAAAAAAAAAAAAAAATCCTATATAGAGAATGTAATCCAATGAGACTTTGAGTTTGAGCCTGGGAGTTTCATGAAAAATGGTCTTGGTATATTACTGGGAAGCAGAAAATACCAACAATGATAGAAAATGTCTTGAAATTTGAAATAAGTCTAAAGGTTAGACAGAGGAAACAGTTCTATAGTATATGCATCCTCCTCCTAACCTTGACTTCTGCTTGACTCAGGCATCCAACTTGATTCCATATATCATGTGCAGATGGCTGAAGGTTGAAGGTTGATTAAAGATAATAGTTCTTCCACTTGATTTCTCGGTATTCTCTTCTTCCACACAACCACCTTTTCATCCATCTAATCCCTCTTCCAAAACAATAGGTTCAAAGAAGCTCCACAACTGGGAAATAATCTATTATTAACTGCTTCAGAACCATAGAATGTCAGATTTAGTATAGAACTTAGGAGTCAGCACTAATTATTTCATTTTGCAGATGAGAAAAGTAGGGTTAGAGACCAAAAATTATTTTTCTAAAATTATCTCCAATAAAGGCAAATCAAAATGAAAATATAAATTCCTCTATTATTGCAATGTTTTTTTCCAAATATTGGGTAATCATTCCTGGAAAGAGGGCAAAAACTGTTGGCATTGATAAATCTTGATAAGTGATTGGGTAAGAATATGGGCACCTAGGAAACTAATCCTGGAATTTGAGGGACATGGGAAATAAAATTAATAGCATAAAACAAGGAGTTATTTGATAAATATTTGTAGAGATTATTGAAAAATACGCCAATGATAAAAGTCAAGAAAAGTTTGTTGAATTTTGTGTTCTAGGACGTAGTTCTTCTCCTGTCAGCTGAAGAAAAAAAAGAAAAGGCAATTGAAATAAAAGAAGATGTGGTGGAGTTGACTGAAATATCTGCCCAACCAAAAAATGAAGAAGACATTGAAATTATTCCAGTCCAAGAAGAAGAAGAAGAAGAAACAGAAGTAAACTTTCCAGAACCTCCCCAGGACCAGGAATCCTCACCAATAGAAGATGATAGTGTCCCTTAAACTTCATTTTTATTTTTGTTTTCTGTTTCCTTTTTCTAAGCATTAGTGTTCATAGCTTCCAAGAGATATTTCCCCCCATTTCTCTGCATGTATCTCCACATATCTCTCTGGTCTTTACATGGAGTGACCATAGAGTGTGCAATCCCCCCCACCTCTCTCTCTCTTTCTCTCTCTCTCTGTCTCTCTCTTTCTGAAAATATAGCTATTGTAACAGATTGCATTATAATGTTTCTTGTTTGGAGCAGCTTTCTTACATTAAAAAAAGGCAGAATGTGATTCTTCACTTGCCTTTGCCTTGGATAAATAGTAGCCACAGTAGTGTTTTAGTGTTTTTTTGTTTTTTGTTTTTGTCTGTTTTGTTTTGTTTTCCATTTCTTCCCTACTCAACAGGAAGATTCTGGACCTGATGAAAAAGATAAATGACTGCTGCATACAATCCATAAACTAACTCTAATTCCTATTACATCTATATTTTGGGTGTAGTCCCTTTGCACCACTGTTTTAATGAAAGCAAAAATAATAATAATGAGGTGCAATAAGGAGCCTATTTGATCTATCTTTCTATGGGGCTCACATTGACTCACACTGAGCCTTCATAACCCTTCAGGGAGACTCTGAGAGACCAACACCCAATTCTTTCTTTGTACAAACAGCACAGCTTATAAATGGCCTTGTCTCTATCTGTCTTAACTTTCTCTAACCCCTGTTCTAGGCTCTTGGCTACATTGTCTATCTAATTTTAGTCTTTAGGCAAGAGAAGAATGAAAAAATAATACCAAAAGTAGCCATATCTCAAATAATAACCAACATTTGTATTTGTAGAATATTTTCTAGTCAACAAAATATTTTATCAAATAATTGATTTTGATCATCCCTGATAAAAAATAATTCCTATCCCATTTTACAAATGATTCAAAAAGGATAAGTAATTTGTAAACAAGTAAAGGTAATTTACAGCTAGTAATTTTGAGGGCCTTTTTCATTACTAAATCTTCTTACTCAAATACTGTAATGTTTGAAATAACCAAATTACCTACCAGTGCCCACATAAACTACTAGAGTTAAGTCAAAAGGATTTTATCAAGCACACACTCTCTGACCAGCACGAAACAGGTGTTAAGGGAGACACAAAAGAATCAGAAATCAAATTTTACCAGTGGGGATAAAAAGACTTAGACATTCATAACCTTTTCAAAATTACTTACATCATTGATGTATAATTGTCTGTTAGATTACATAATGTAGATACTGAGTTATCAATGTTATAGACTAAGTGCTACAGACATTGTGAGAAAAAAGATCATGCTGAAAAATTATATAAATAGTTACAATACCTAATCTCAGGCAATAGCTATCCTACTTACTGATTCTTGTTCATATTCAGAGAAACTAGTATCCTATGAAGAAAGAATCTTAACCTAGGAAGGTCACTGTCATCTATCAACTACATTTGAGCATTTGCTACATGTCGAGTGATGTCAGATTCTGGCAAGTATGTAGACAATGTGATTTTCACTCCATGTAATATTTCCATTTTTTTTAGGGGCCACCAATGGAAGATATTTCCTCTGATTAGAAAGAAAAAGGAGTAAAGTCCTCTATGTAAAGTCCTCAAAATTAGCTTTAAATGAATAAAACTATATTTGTATTCTTATCTGCAATAGATGATTCCAATATGGTATTTCTCCAAGTCTTCTTTATTCCTATAACATCAGATCATGTGAGGCTCCTAAAGCCTTAAGTACATATTCACACAAACCTAATCTGGGTGTGAATTGTGAAGTATCAGGATATTAACTATTAATTTCAGTATATTCTTACATATACACTTGCCCAAGGAAAATTTTCATGGGACAGGTCATTAATAATGTGTTCCTCACTCACAGCACTCTAGAATTTGACTGAATTATATGGCAGGCACTTCTGCATTGAACTAGGGGAAAAGAAAGAGGTCATGGCAATGCTAGACTCAATGAGAAAGAGAGAGAGAGAGAGAGAGAGAGAGAGAGAGAGAGAGAGAGGAAATCTTAAAAAAAAAGACAATCTTTTATTTCTTATTTTTTATTTCTTATTTTCTCCACTTCTGAAATACATATGAGGTTCGCCTTCCAAATCTATGGTTTCCTTAAAAATTTATTTTATTCATTTTATGATCTCAAATAATTAGTTTTTACCCACCTCAGATAACCACTTAAATCAGAGATACTGTTAATGTCTGTTAAAGAAGAATGAATATCCTTGCTATGATCTTCTCTCCAATTATCCAATTAGGGAACTTTTTCATTATAGCGTGATTGACCACCTCAGTTTGTTCAAGACTGAGGGGTTTCCTGGGATGCAGCACTTTCAGTGCCAAAACCCAGATAGTCCAAGGCAAATCAGGGTGATTGATCACCCTCATTCATAGTAATACAGAATTTTACACACCTATAATCACTGTATAACATAATATGTTTTTATACTTAGTGTTTTCATAAATATTTCCTTTTAATATATGATTTTCATAAGTATAATTTTTAGTTGCAATTTAGCCCTCCATTAAATCAAGATAGAATTCACCATTCTTCTATAATCGATTACTTAGGGTATTTCCAAATTGTTTTTTTTTTTTGCAAATCACTTTTGGAGCTGCAGAAAACTTGAAAAAAAAAATTTCCTCTTCTCATTATTCAAAATGTGGCTTAACACTTCAAGCTTTGTCAGTCTGTCAGATGCCTAAACCTAAGACCTAAAACTATAGAATTCTTAAAAAAAAATATGGTGTAAAGTTTGAAGTCTTGGATTAGGCAATGATGTTTTAGATATAACACCAAAACCATAAGCAAAGAAAGAAAAAATAAATTGAATATCATCAAAATTAAAAACCTTTGTGTGTCAAAGAAAGTAAAAATAAAACCATTGAAGGGGAGAAAATATTTGAACATGATGTATTTGATAAGGGTCTAATATTCAGAAAGTATAAAGAAAGTTTACAGATCAACAATAAAAAGACAAATAAGCCAGTTAAAAAAAAACCTGGAAACATTTTTGAATATATATTTATTCAAATGTACAAATGGTCAATAAGCACATGAAAAATGCTCAAGTCACTAAGGAAATGTATATCAAAACCACAATGAAATATCACCTCACATTCATGGGGATGACTATAATAAAAAATAAAGTAATGATTGTTGGTGAGGATTTGAAGAAATTGGAACCCTTATACACTGCTAGTGGTATTGTAAGATGCTGTAGCTACTTTGAAAAATTGTGTTTGTCAGTTTCTCAAAAAGCTAAACATAAGTTACTGTAAGACCCAATAACCTACTAATAGGTATATATACTCAAGAAAACTGAAAATATATGATCACACAGAATCTTTTCTACAAATGTTCTTGGCAGCATTATCCATAATGGCCCAAAAGTAAAACAACACAAAAGTGTATTGACTGGTGAATAGATAAATCAGTGTGGTATCTATACTATAATAGATGAATATGCAAATTGTCTGGGACACAATCACAGTAATAGTAACGACTGAATAACAGGCTGCATGGGGTGACCAGGCTGGCAGCGGAGTTAGTGAGGGACGACCAAATGACTGAAGAGCAGGCTGCATGGTGAGACCAGGTCGGCAGGGGGGGCAGTTGGGGGTGACCAGGCTGACTGGGGGGCGGGGCAGTTAGGGGTAATCAGGCTGGCAGAGGAGTAATGGCAGTGACCAGACTGGCAGGGGCAGCTGGGGGTGACCAGGCCTGCAGGGGGAGGCAATTGGGGGTAACCAGGCCAGAAGGAAGGAAGGGGCAACCAGGTTAGTTGGGGGGCAATTGGGGGCAACCAGGCAAACAGGAGTGGCAGTAAGGGGAGACCAGGCTGGCAGGGGGGCAGTAAGGAGTGACCAGGCTGATGCAGGTGCAGTTGGGGGCAACCAGGCTAGGAGGCAAGGGAGGCAGTTGGGGGGAGACCAGGCTGGCAGGGGGGCAGTTAGGGGTGATCAGGCAAGCAGGCAGGTGAGTAGTTAGGAGCCAGTAGTCCCGGATTGTGAGAGGGATGTCCAACTGCTGATTTAGGCCTGATCCTAGGAATTGGGCCTAACCCGGCAGTCAGACATCCCTCAAGTAGTCCCAGATTGGAGAGGGTGCAGGCTGGGCTCAGGGGGGACACCCCCCACCCCCGGTTATTAGAGGCCCAGTGCAAATTTCTTGGGCCTCTACTATCCATATAATGAATAATTATTCAGCCATCAAAAGGGATGATGAACTAGTACATGTCATAACTTGAAGACATTGTGATAAGTATAATTACAGATACAAAAAGCTATATATTAAATGATTCCATTGATATAAAATGACCATAGTAAGCAAATTTATAGAACTAGAAAGTAGATTATCAGTTGTCAGATGCTGGTGGGGTGGGAAGGAGAGTAGAGAGTGACTGCTAATTAATTCAGTTTTCCTTTGGGGGGTGATGAAAATGTTCTGTAATTATATAATGGTCATGGTTGCATAACATTGTAAATATATTAAAAACACTTTAAAAGGGTGAGTTTTAATGTGTGTGAATTAAATTCCAATAAAAATAATTTAAAAAGAGAAAACCAGTGCTATAAAATAACCAGAAAGGACTAAATAACAGTAAAATGCTCTAGTGCTTAGCATCCAATAATCTATATATATAAAAGCCAAGCAACTGGAATGATGGAATGATTGGTTGCTATGACATGCACTGTGGCAGCCAACTGGACAGATTTGGGCCCTAATCAGCACTTTCACCTTGATCAGGGGCTAACCTCCTGCAATCCCTGCCCCCTGCTGGCTGAGCCCTGATGGCTCCCATTAGGGTGGGCCAGCCGTACCCCACCCACACATGAATTTGTGCACCAGAACCCTATTGCTCAATAATATTATAGGATAGGAGTAAATTCAATGAAGGCTACAGTATTATGGGAAAATCTCATAGGGAGAATTTGAGTTGTACTTTAGAGAATAAGCATAAATTATATAGTAAAAGAAAAAGGAAAGAATATTTCAGGTAAGGGCAGTAATACCTATATAGGACAAAAAACAGAAACATTCTGGTTGTATTCAGGGGCACTAACAGAATAACCTGGATGAATCAGAGTGTAATCAGACTTAAAGCAATACTCATAGCATCAGGTTTTATTTATTTATTTACTGTTTTAATCCTCACATGAGGATTAAATA